TAAAATAAACAATACTTTATATAAAATATTTTTTTATTGTTCTATTAAACTATTTGTAATTCCATCACATATAAAATTCATCCGGCAAGGACTATAGTTTCCATGGCTTTCTAAGTGTTCAACAACATCAAATAAAATATAATTAGAAACAAAATTAGAATTCTGATCAAATTTTACAAATGTTACATCATCATGCGATCTCTTTCTAATGTAATTATGTAGTGCTATCGAATAACATTAAACACTAGTTTTTCAAATAAACACAATACATGAGAAATTATTTTGGATTTTATTTTGTTTTACTGAGTCGGACATGATCCAATACCTTTAGATTTAGACCAGGCTAGATTTGGCTCATGAACAATGAAGATACTCTCCACTGTTCACCTTGCAGAACAATAAAAAATAATGAAGATTGTGAAATGCAGCAGAAGAAGAAGAATGAGAATGGAAATGGAAAGGAAAAAGGGAAGAGTAGACTACCATGAGCGATGATAGTATCTGGCTGGCGATCAAAACAACAGAGGTTAGTGATGAATTAAGGGAGCTATTAGGCCGATGGATGACAATCCTTTTTTTTTCCCGCTCTTCTCCCTTCTTTTTTTCTCTTTTACTTTTTAAAGGAATTGTTGAGATTATGGAATGTTGAATATTCCTCGAACGAGTTTTTTTCTCTTCAAAAATATATTTCATGTGGCCAAACTAGTTTGTCAATGAATAATTAAAAAATTGAAATGAGTTGTTTGCAAAGCCTAAATTAGCCTCAATTTATAATGGATCTCACCAAAGTTTTTCAAATAAACACAATACATGAGAAATTATTTTGGATTTTATTTTGTTTTACTGAGTCGGACATGATCCAATACCTTTAGATTTAGACCAGGCTAGATTTGGCTCATGAACAATGAAGATACTCTCCACTGTTCACCTTGCAGAACAATAAAAAATAATGAAGATTGTGAAATGCAGCAGAAGAAGAAGAATGAGAATGGAAATGGAAAGGAAAAAGGGAAGAGTAGACTACCATGAGCGATGATAGTATCTGGCTGGCGATCAAAACAACAGAGGTTAGTGATGAATTAAGGGAGCTATTAGGCCGATGGATGACAATCCTTTTTTTTTCCCGCTCTTCTCCCTTCTTTTTTTCTCTTTTACTTTTTAAAGGAATTGTTGAGATTATGGAATGTTGAATATTCCTCGAACGAGTTTTTTTCTCTTCAAAAATATATTTTATTTGGCCAAACTAGTTTGCCGATGGATAATTAAAAAATTAAAATGAGTTGTTGTTTGCAAAGCCTAAATTTTTTGTTTTTGTTAAACCTCGAATGTAGCCTCAATTTATAATGGATCTCACCAAAATAAAAGCAAGTTTTAACTTACCAAATAATCATTGAACCTATTATAAAAATAAATATGTTTTAAATATTTTTATATTTTTAAAAAATAAAATTTATCATAATATCAAATTAAATCTTGAAAAAAATACCGGGACTCTCTATGTTCTCGTCACTTGTACGATGAAGCATAACATTTTTTTTTTTAAAAAAAAAAACAAGAAGAAAGATCTCTGTCCTTGAATCGCGCCAGATCTCTATCCTTGAATTGCGCGAATGTTCCTTTCCAGCCAACTCCAGTGTTGCCGATCGCTGCTCTATTCAATATTTTGAAGCTCGACTTTGATAACAAATTAGTCAAGCTATTAAATCACCGAATTAAATAATTGGATTGGTTAAATGCACTACAACATATATAATATAAATAAGAAGTGGTGAAAAAAAAAAAAAGAAGAAGTGGTGAACTGATAAATAAATATAGAGGAAGAAGTGGTGAACTGATAAATAAATATTTTTAAAAATGGAGGCATCGAGTTCAAACCTAGCAAGGCATAACCTTTTTTCCCCGAACCAGGTCATACGGGTTCCAGTATTTAGCGTCAACCTAAATTGGTTGGATGGCTAGGCCATCGAACCTCCAATCATATCAACCAATCCAGTTCATGTTTAATAACAATGCTTTTGTTAGAACCCTATTAAATCACCCTGTCTTTTTAGGTATATAATTTTTCTTTTCCCAGGATTAGTGCTTGAAGTTGTAGGCTGACAATCATGAAGCTATTAAAGCGTTAAGCCTTCAAGATTGTTTACTTTAAGAATTTGAGTCTCTCTTTGTTGACCTACATGTATAATTAATATCCGCGTAGCATCCAAGAAGCGAGTATTTGTTTCCATGTTTTTTTATTAAAAAAAATCAAAATTAATTATTTTTTTAGATGATTTTCAATGTTAATATTATAAATAAATAAACAATCATATATTACATTTCTAAATACATGTATAATCTTTAATCTTTTATGGGGATGTCATTATACAAGAAAATATTAAAATTATAATTGAGTTGACTCGACTAAAAGGTTGGATCTCAGATTTCATAGATCAGCTCGAGTTAACTGAGATTAACCCAAAAAAATTAAAAAAATTCATGTAAATATAGATTATATATACATATGGGGAATAATAAAGTTTAAAATAATATTTTAAAAAGTTTTTTAATCCGATATTGAAAAGATATTATGTTAAGTTTTTAAGTTGAAGTATTTAAACCAATTTTTTTATTTCACATTGAAAAAAAATTAAAAATATAAAATATATATACTAATATATTTCAAATTTTACATGAAAAAACTATAATTTTTTTCATAGAAATATGAAGTATATATATAAAAAGATTTCAAAACTTATATTAAAAAGATATTAGACTATTTTTTAAAGTTGATATACTTAAACTAAATTTTTTTTTCTTATAAATATAATATATATATATATATAGATTTTAAATTCTATATTTAAAAAAAAATAAAGTTTCATCTGGATTCATAGAGTCATAAATAAACCCAGCAGGTTATCAAGATTTGACTAGGCTATTATCCTAGCTGATTTTTTATTAAATTAGAACCGGTCCTACTACCAGGATAGTTAAATTATTCGCTAAACCAGAGGGGATTTAATAACAGTGGATGAAATAGTTTGAACATAAGAATTGGAAGTTTAAGAAATTATGTCACGTCAATCTCGTAATAGAATAAAAATCAACTATTGGAAACAGCTGGAAATGAAATGTATAGCTAAAAGGACTGCTATTTTTTTTTATTATCATTTAGATATTTTTATATATACATTAACTAATTATATGGATTTTAAAATTTAAAAAATTTAAAAAATAAATCTGAAACTTAAATAGTTAAGTTATACTGAACATATTACAAGAACTGCACTCTAACTTGTATTCACTGTGACGTTGTGCATGGGATTAAACTCACAAAATTGCTGGGACCATGTACAACGTTTCAAAAAAAAAAAATTAGATTAATATAATTGTTCGGTTAGCTAGCTTTCGTATACACAATTAATTTTATAAATTTTAAAATTAATAATTATATAAATTTTTAATAATTATTATAAAAACAATTAAAAATTCATACTTGAAATTATAAAAAGAACACACCTTTTAATTCTAAATTTCACTACTTGACATCCACAGATGGTTACGTTTCAAAATTTTAATCTCTTATCTGATTGTCTTGGAATTCAAAACAAATCGGCCATGTATTGTGAGTTTACTTACACTCAATCTTGC